GCCAGCACGCAGGAGAAAAGTTGGGTTGTCCTAATGTACTCACAAAAGTCATTAAAGTGGTGTGTGAACTGGTAATGACCAGACATGGGCTCCATCTATGGCTACCCCTACCAGGATGACAAAAAGACACAGGATGCTTGGTCTGTCCCACAAATAAAACCTTTAAAACTACTAAGAGAAATACAAATTCTTGGAACTAAAAATAAAAATACCCAGTTTTTAATTGAGAAAGCTGGTATACAAGCGATCTGTCTTCAACTGGCATGTATGGGGTGGGGGCAGAGGCTGGTAACCTCGGTCGGAGAGCAGCCTGGGCTTGGGTTAGACCATGGATAATAAGGCAGGGACTTAGCACCCCTGTCTCTCAATTCGCCTGCCCTTTCGCTCTGGATACAGGCTTCTGTGCCCTGCATGGAGGTAACTGCAGAGCTGACAGCATTGCATGGGTGCTATGGTCTGGGACAGGATTTAATGCACACAGGAGTGAGCTCACTATTCCAACATGTCTTCTGTTTCCTTTGAACAGAGGGTATCTATGATCTGAATTTATTTCTAGTAGGAAAGAAAACCACAGATTTATTAGTTGTTACAAATTCGCTAACAGAAAATAAAGAGGCCTATGGAAGGAGGCAGTAAGAGGATCTGAGCTCGGGCACCTGGGTGGCTCAGTCGGTTAAGTCCGACTCTTGATTTGGGCTCAGGTCATGATTTTGGCCCCGAGTCAGGCTCCATGCTCAGTGGAGAGTCCGCTTGGGGATTTTCTCTCCCTCTGCCCCTCCCCCTGCTTGCATGCGCATGCACTCTCTCTAAAATAAATAAATCTTAAAAAAAAAAAAAAAAAGGCTCCGAGCTCTTCTGGGTGGGGCATCAGGGAGGACTTAACCCAAAGTGGATTGGGTCAGCATTGGAAAAGACTGGGGCAAAGGATAGACAAGAGAAAAGGACTGCAAGCAAAAGAAAAGTAGCAAAGTAGCACATGTTAAAAATCCATGGCCTGGGAAGGAGCATGAAAGGTGCAGCATAAGCGGGAGGGGTGTCGGTGGGCAGAAGTGAGAGGTGGGAATGGGCACCGGAGCACAAAGAGTGAGCCGACGTCTGTGGCCCCCTCTACGTGTCTGACCGTCTCGCCACACCATCCCTCTGAACCTGGACCAACCAAAGACAAGAATCCTCTTGAGGTCAGGAATCGTTTAATGAACATATGCCTTGTAAATAGCAAAAGACATAGAAACTGGTGGTGTGTCCAACTGCACGCTTGATAAAGGAATGAGAGATGTGGCAAAGGAATTGTATTCAGTCCAAGATTAGATGAGAAGCCCTTTCAGGATTGGATCACACTGTAAGTAGATTTCAGGGAGGTGTAAGGAATGGGGACAGTAAGAGGGCACTTTGTTGACGCAACTGGTGTGTGGGGTTTGTGTAAGTATCTGAAAATACAGGGGATGACCTAGCTGAGAACGCACTGTTCGCCACCATCCCCAGAGGCTCCTGGGATGGACTCCATTATTCTGATGTCATGTTTGTACGATTGTGTCTTCCATTGTTTGAAGGAAAGTAGATTTTTTTTCTGCTTAATGGTTTTGAATATGAGATGAAGTATATATATATGCATATATATATGCATACATATATGTATATATATATGACCCTTATTTGTCCTTTATTAGCTGTGCTGATTCATCTCTTAGTACTTGAGTTTTATTTCTTCATTGAGTAAATATATTTATTGAGAGCCCCTGTGAGGAAGGTACTGATCTAGGCTCTGGGTTTCTTTGCTCTGGCAGCCCTACCAGAGTAATAAACTTGATGTTGGACCACATTCTTTGTGTCCATGTGCCCACACCATTGTTTTCTTGCTGGACTTTGACTTGTTCCCAAGAGCAAGATCACAGCATTTATGGAATGGGATTACTTTATTAGTGGCTTGACTTGTTTTGCCGTTGGGTTGTATCAGAACGTTGGGTTTGGGAGTCATTACCTGGATCCCACTGAGCCATTTATGTAATGCACTATGTATAGGGCATGAATTAAATACCCTTTGTTACTCAAAATAGGAATTCCAAACCCTGTGTAATCCTAATGGCTTCAGAAAGGTGTCCCCAACTTATGTCAAAGGAAAAATCATTTTGAAACTAGAGTTTTATACTAGCCAAAATTATATTTTAATGTAAGGACCTAAAAAATGATTGTCTGGTATTAATCAGCACAATTAACAACCAGAAGATTTGCAAGAAAAAAAAAAAGACACCCACCAAAACACTATTTTGGAAATAATATTTAATAAGAAAACACGTAAATAAAGCCAGGAAATGATTCAGGATGAAAGGTAAGTAAGAATGAACAACAACCTTAATTAGGTCTGTCACCGTCTCAAAAATAAACCAAGCCCTGACTGAAGAGAAAGAAAATGGAGAGTATTAACACCGGGGCTAAGGAGTAGTGAGGAGAGAATGCAGATGAGCTCACGAAGTTACTTGTCTTTGGGGGACGATGGGAATACACATGTTAAAATGTTGACAAAGAAGGAGAGAAAGAAGCATAGAGTAAGGTTTACAAACTGAAATAACGATTTCCACAGAGACTGCACCATTAGCTAACTGGAATTAAAATTAAAACTTAATAGGGGGCACCCGGGTGGCTCAGTTGGTTGTGTGTCTGGCTCTTGATTTCGGCTCAGGTCATGATCTCAGTGTTACGCAGTCCAGCCCTGCGTCAGGCTCCGTCCTGGGCATGGAGTCTGCTTGAGAGTCTCTCCCTCTCCCTCTGCCCCTCCCCTCTCATGCTCTCTCTCTCAAAATAAATAAATAAAACTTAATAAAAAAATTGAAATAAAGATGGCATAAGTTAGCCAAAATAAAACATTCAAAGAATACACATAAAGGGCAAAACCTGAAGACACAAAGTGTTTTCTTTTAATCTACTTAACATGTTGTTGACAAAAGGTTGTTTGAGTGTTGAAGGAAAGTTGGGAAAATTTTGTCATGCGAACTGTAATCTAATCAGACAATTTTATCTCAGTCAGTTAATTAGAAATAGACTGTAAGACAAAGAGCATCAGCAGAACTGGGATTTCGTCACTGAAGGGCGGCAGGATGCGCCACCCCACTGGGCCACTTCAGCATGTGCGGAGCTGGAGCTGACTCAGGACAAGGTTTTTTCCTCCCTTCTACCTGCCTGAGAGAATTTGGAAAGGGGCCCTGCACCAGGAGGAGAGAGATTACCAGAGATAATGGAGAGACTCATCTGCCTGGCAGGGCAAACACTGGGGACCAAACATCTGCTCTTCTCATCCTCCTGTGAAGCACCTGCCGGCCCTCTGGAGCCTCAGACACCCGCCCCTCTCCTTAGCTCAGAATGGCCTGTAAGCCTCCAGCTGCCTCTGTGGCTCGTTTCCTTGGGGGGTCCTCACACTATGAAATTAAATTTGTTTTGCTCCTGTTAAGCTGTCTTTTTATTACAAGGGGTTCTCAGCCTGAAAACTTCAGGACCCTGAAATGTACAACAGTTCTAATTATGTATTTCCTAATAGTAATAAAAATATATTATTTGTTATCATTTTATATTCCTTTGTATTACTTAAAATAGTGTGATGTATTATGTCGCTTATTTTTATCTCTCTTTATATATATAAATATACACATATATTTGCAATATTTATATTAGAAATTGGGGAAAACTGAATGGAAAATTTGACAAATTCCTTCTTATGTTTCAAGATTTTAGCATTTTTCACTTATTAAACAGACAAAATAAAGAAAAAAATTCAGAAAATATTTTTTAAGTTGACCGCCAAAGTTAAAAAGGTTAAATAAAAAACTTTACGTACTACTTAGGAAAATGTTACCTTCCTCTCGAGCACACCTGGAACGGTTGTATACTGGGTTCTGCAGAAAGAGTAAAGCATTTCGCAAGGTGGTTCACAGATTTGACTCTGGCCACTTCCTTCCTATAAATTTGCATCACCAGATTTGCCTCAGCCTTTGAGGAACCCAGGGAGCGAGTCTGCCTCAACCTGAAACATTGTCCTGCCATTCAAGGCAGAGCAGACCCACAGCGCTTAGGAAAACACTGGGCGCCAAGTGCATGACTGAGGGTGCTCCTGAACCTGAGAAATGTCCTACTGTGTGTGGGTGTTCTCATGTTTTGTGAAATCGGGATAATACCATAGAATATAGTTTTATGTCCAGATGTGTTTTCTTACTTAGTATCATTGCATAATACTTTTTTCATCCCAACATCCTGTCCCCTATCCCAGCTCCCACCACAGCTGGCAAGTTCCCCGGGCCCCCTCCAGGCTAGAAAGCCAAGGCCCGCTTCTGAATATCAACCATGCTGTAAACACCCACAGAATGAATTTTAAAATCTGCAATCGTCACGTGCTGTGTTCAGGCCTCAGTGGTAGTAGAATACAGGATGTCTCTTCTATCCCCAGGGAAATGAAGGATGAGGATGAAGCCACAGTGGTTTTCCCTTTTCTGAACACAGTTGATCCCTTTTCCCCACTTCTCGCCCACCCCAAGAACCAGACCGAATTCTTCCCCTTGTGAACTTGGGGTGACAAGCTAAGCCCTGGATCCGTCTGTACGGAGAATGTCACAGGACCCGTGCAATGCAAATCTCCTACTCTGGCATCTAGATCCTGAGGCCTTCATGATAAATAGAGAATCATGCCTCGTAGTAGCAGGAAGAGAAATCAGTAAAGATCTCAGACTCAGACCTGCAGGATGTTAGGGTCTTGTGAAGGGCGGAGGAAGATGAAGTGTTTTGGAAGATGACAAGGCAAAAGCAGTGGCTAGAGTCACTTGTCGAGGGCTGGCTGTGTCCAGCTTCGATGTCCTTCAGGCCAGGAGTGTGTCCTTATGAAATAATTTGAGACTCCTCCCATCAATGTCTATAACTTTCAGTTTCATCAGCCAGAGAAACTGAACAGTTTCCTTCCTGTAAACATCTTAGTCACAATGAAAAATGACAGCCAAGTTTTTTTTCTTAATTTTTTTTGTTGTTGTTGTTGCTGTTAAAAGAAAAAAATGGTCTGTAGCTGCAAGGAGTTACGGGCCTGAAATTTTCTTACCCGGCAGGCAGACTTAAATGTGGATCAGCAGATACCAACGCCCTTAACCCAGGCTCCAGTTTCAAAGGGGAGCGGTGAGTCATCCAGCCACTTCTCCCCGCTTTCTTTCTCCTTCGGGGGCCCCCTCTGGCAGCAGGCGAGGGACCGTCGAGGTCTATCATTACCAGTACTTGAGCCCACCTCCTGGATGGAGGAAGTCGGCTGTAAAGATCCTTTGGCTTCAATGCCCTGCCATGCACATGCTAGGGGCCTGATAAAGGGACAAAATCATAACAACTACGTGAATCCTTCCTAGAGTATTTGTAAATGAATTGTGCACTATTTGTCTGCTTGCCTATGCCTGGAATCCTTCCCTTCAGTGACTGAATTTCAGTTTTATTCTTGCCATTCTCAGTTATACAGAGAAAACAAGTGTGTAACGTGTGTAATTGCCTTATATAAATACGATAACCAAGTCTTCCAGAATTTGAAAAAACACTAAGCCTCTAAAAGGGTTGAAGGCCTGATAAATACTTTTCCTTGTTTTTTGTTTGGTTTTTTTTTAATCCTACGAAGGGCATGGGATACACCCTGGAGAATCTGAAGATGCCAAATAAATGGAAGGAATCAGCAGGCAGTATTGTAACCTGCTGTGCGATCTTCACGAAGGATGAGGCCATGACTGGCAGGGGGACTCTCAAAGATCAGCTAAATCTGGCATATGATGTGAAGTCATCTAAAGGAGAAAAAACTTACTGCATTAATCCACACCAGGGTGATGGAAAAGAAGTTGAAGTCTGAATTGGGAAACCATCTGGATAGTTCCATCAAAGCAGCAGTAAGTCAGCGAAAACCAAGGAGGACCTGCCAGGGTGACACAGACATCTGTGGGTTTCTGTGATTCTTTATTACAAATTTAAACACTGCTGAGGTGGGTGCATCAGGCTGGTCTTAAGGTAAAGGGTAGAGAGGGACCTTAGGGAGGCTATTACTCACCAGTTAAAGAATTGCTCTATAGGAATGATCTCTTTAAGAGAATGCACACAGAATAATAAAGGCAAAGTGAAGGGACTATCCCAGGAGACAAATATGGCAGGTTATGAAGCTGCGGATTATATAAGAGTCGAGATGATAGCAGTGTGCAAATAGTTTTTATGGATTGAAATACTCCTTCCAACTATAATTAAGCAGAGTCGACAGTCTTGAATGTTTAATCATATGCTTAACTGTTGAATGTATTTACATCCCAGGCAATAGCAGCCAATCTATTTCTTATTCTGATGACACGTCACAACCAGAATCCAAGCTTGGTTGGAAATGCATTATTTAAACGTGAATAAATGACTACTGATACAGTTCAGTTGGGCTTAAAAAGATTGTATCTCACATACACAAATATCGACTATTCTTCTTTGGTCATTGATCATTGTGGCAAAAAATAGATAATCATAGCTGATTAAATGCCAGACTTGCCTAATGAATCTTTTTCTATAGAACTTTCAGGGAGCTATCTTGAGAGAATGTGCATTAATAGGGCCCCCAATCCATACCCTGCCAAGTGGGAAGACTTCACCACCATCGAGTCAGAAGATAGTCCTAGTTTTTTGCATTCGATCACCAGCCAAAGTTCCAGTTGGCAAGTCAAGACTTCTAATTCCGTGTGTTAGAGAAGAAAATTGAGCAAACATTGGAGGGCTTGCCTTACGTAACTTGAACAACCCATTCACAATCGTTCCTGAAGTTTATAATATTGATCTTGGAAATCTTGTTTGCTCTCTAGATAGAAGAAGAATAAATTTAAATATACCTTTAACCACTTAAGTACCAAGGAAAATAAAGATAGTAAAAAAGAGGAAAAAAGAAAAACAAAGCCCACCTTGCATAGCATTGAAATTGCAGACGGATGACCACTGCAAGCCAGAAACAACAACTGCTTTTCATTGTAACAAGTGTGCACTGGGCTGAGTGGCCAACTCAGTGTTCATTTCCAAAAAACTAGTGCTGTGTTCCAAGAAATGAGAGAGACATGCTGGTAGACCCCCAGGCGTCCCTGAATGCATCAGTCTCAGGGCTGTATTGCTAGAGCCGTGGCCTTGAGCATGAATAAACAGGACTTGTCAGTGTCGGAGCTCTAGGAGACAGCGTGCCAGCAGAAACCCTGGGAGCAGACTGGCTCGCCTTCACGATCCTCTCTCCACAGAGGCCTGGGATTGCATGAGTTGCATCAGAATGCTTTATGAAGAGAAAGTTGCCTCTTCTTTAGAAGGAAGTGTGAGAGGCAAGGATGGGAAACAAATCCATGGAGCCCGTGGAGTCCAGGGAGCCTCCTCCTCAGACCAGAGATACTTAAGAGTGGTGTGAGCTTGGGACGCCTGGCTGGTGCAGTCGGTTGAGCATCTGACTCTTGGTTTCGGCTCAGGCTGTAATCTCAGGGTCATGAGATTGAGCCCCGTGTCGGACTGGGTGCTCAGCGTGGAGTCTGCTTGAGATTCTCTCTCTCTCTCTCTCCCTCTGCCCCTCCTGCTCATTCTCTCTCAAATAAAAAAATCTTAAAAGAAAAGAGCGGTGTGAGCTGACATGACGCAGGGCAGTCACCTTTGTGACTGGACCTTACTTGTCTGACTTCTCATCGATGTGACCAATCTACCAGAACCCAGGGAAGCACCTTCCCATGGAAGTGCATCAGCAATAACAGACTTCTGTATGAAAGGAGCAACAGTAACAATGGAACGCAGCCTGAAAGAAACTGTACAACTACTTAGAGCGACGTAGTAGGACAAAGGAGAATATAAGCATGTTCATTACAGACATAACTGTAACACAGGATAGGAAAATTCATCCCACGTAGGATTACTGTTGTTTCAAATGCATTTGAGGACATCCATGCATTTTAGCATTTTATCCCTTACATCCATTTTTCCCTCCCCATATGCACTCGTAAGATGATCATAAGGTCTTAAATAAATAAAATAGGCTACAGAATATTGATTAGTGTAGGATGCCATTTTCAGAAAATATTATGTGTGTCCTATGTAGTGAAAATCGGGAAGGGCACATATGGGATACAACTGGATTTCAGGCAAGTTACATTTTGTTTCAGTGATTTGTGCTCTGGATTTAGTCATTTTTGCTAAGATGATTGTATATTAATTGCATAAAAAGAAAGTTAAAAAAAAAGGGAAAGAAAGAGAAGAAAAGATAATAATTGCAGCTGATACAGTTTTGCCACGCTGGTCCACCGCAATCTCATCCCCTTCCTTGTGTGTAATACAATACTCTCCTTTCACACAATGACTCACTGGTATTTCAATGACCTGTTAGGCCGGCCTTCGTATTTGTGGGACATAGCAGGAGTCTGGCAAATCCAAGTTTCAGGGCAATATAATCAGAACTAATAAAATCATGCAAGTATAAAATGCAGCTTACTCATTTCATTTCCAGGTGTTTGTGTGTGGTTTTCCTTCTGCCTGGATTTCCCTAGACCCTAGACCCTTAAACTCTTGTCCTTTTCCCACTACTTTCCTGCGTGTCTCTGTGTATGCGGCCGGACATCCTTTGACCTCAGTTTATATATTCCTTCTTGCCTAGATTAGATGACCCTCAGGTGTGTTTCTTTGGACCCTGTGAAATTCTCATCTTGGTACTTGGTGTTATTTCGTTGGGCAATTGTATTTACTGGGAGCACAATCTGAGGAGGTCCTGAGTTAGTAACTTGGATAAAGTACTTTAAAAGAAAGACAGGGCACTCCTACTCCTGAAGCTTATAGTGTGGATGAAATGACAATTAATAATTATAGTAGTGGGGCGCCTGGGTGGCTCAGTCGTTAAGCGTCTGCCTTCGGCTCAGGTCATGATCCCGGGGTCCTGGGATCGAGCCCCACATCGGGCTCCCTGCTCAGCGGGAAGCCTGCTTCTCCCTCTCCCACTCCCCCTGCTTGTGTTCCCTCTCTAGCTGTCTCTCTCTCTGTCAAATAAATAAATAAAATCTTTAAAAAATAATAATTATAGTAGTCACAAGTGGTAGAAAAGAAAAAAACAAGATCTTATACAAGTAAATACAAAGAAGACTTCTAGCTTAAGATAGGGCCTACGGGAGGATTTCCTGAGAAGGAGACATTAAATCGGGAACCAGAGGATGAAAAGGGTCAACCAAGTTAAGTTTGTGAGAGTCCTTCAGCAGAAGGAAGCAGTGTATTGAAGAAACTCTGAGTAGAAAGCAAAAGGAAGACACTTGAGAGACTCGGTAGACAATGAACCCATTGCCGTGTTCACAGGTATTCTTGTGGATGCTACATGGTTCTCTCCCTCTGCCAGGAAACCAAGACAGAAAACTTCCTGAGGTCAGAAATGTCAAATTCACCAAGGAATACTCACTATATGCATTTGATTAAATGACAATTGGGAGTTATTTTTGTGGAAGATGAAATGAGATGCTATTTTTTTTTTTTAAAGATTTTATTTATTTGCGAGAGAGACAATGAGAGACAGAGAGCATGAGAGGGAGGAGGGTCAGAGGGAGAAGCAGACTCCCTGCTGAGCAGGGAGCCTGATGTGGGACTCGATCCCGGGACTCCAGGATCATGACCTGAGCCGAAGGCAGTCGCTTAACCAACTGAGCCACCCAGGCACCCGAGATGCTATTTTAAGGCTCAAACACAATAATATGTGTTAACGAAAATGGAGCAAAGGAGGGATGAGAAGAAAATATTTAAGAGAAAATGCTCCTGTGAACATGTGATCACTAACCCAGATCTTTCTCTACAAAATCCCGAAAGGTCTTACCCCACCGAACTTCTCTATAGTAGTCTAGACCTTGAGATAGTCTTTAGAAATGGCAGAAAGCGCTGTTTATTTTTAAGAGTAGAAAGATAAATTAGTGAAAATCTCTGGAAACTGAGGTGCAGAGTGTTAAAACCTTGTGAAAGCCTAAGTAAATGAAGTATTGTGAAATATTACAATGGAAAACCATGCTAATTGGGATGATTTAAACAGTTGGTTAGTGCTGACTGTGGGATGCTGGGCCATGAGCTGGTTTTCTCCCCTCTTTGTATTTCTCCCAGGAAAAGAGTTTTGAAGGTATGAGGTGATTTGGAGACTCCACCCATCAATGTTCGAAGCTTTAGATATTATTAGGAAAACCGCAGTTTCCTTCCTGCAAATACCTTTTTTCTTTTTTTTTTTAAAGATTTTGTTTGACAGAGAGAGACACAGCGAGAGAAGGAACACAAGCAGGGGGAGTGGGAGAGGGAGAAGCAGGCTTCCCGCCGAGCAGGGAGCCCGATGTGGGGCTCGATCCCAGGACCCCGGGATCATGACCTGAGCCGAAGGCAGATGCCCAACCATCTGAGCCACCCAGGCGCCCCTTCCTGCAAATATCTTAATCAAAATGAGTAAGATGATAGCAGAAATACCCTCTTTTGGTCTTGATACACATTCGTAGCTGAAAAGAGTTCCATTAGACCTTTCTCATCCACTAAACTTAAAGGTGAGCCAGTAGAAACCAAAGTCCTTATTTTAGACCTAAATGGGAAGGTGAGTCACCCAACTGCTTGTCTCCCCTTCCTTGTTCTCAGAGTGGCTGTGGCAGGCAGCGACCTTGGGAGAAGCAAGGAATCTGGCGCTCTCAAGACCTAAACAAAGTTATTTGCTTCTATTGGCAAACTAACATTCCTCTATCCAGTTCCAAGGCATGGCTGTGTTCTCCTCCCACCCGCTGGACTCTTATGTGTCCAAAAACAGGAATCTGGTGTTCTCAAAACCTAAACAAAGTTATTTGTCATTACCCCCACTTGACTGCACCTCCTGGGTGCAGGAAGTCTGAGCTTGAGGTTTCAGTAACATGTGACACATTCTCCTAATTATTAACACCTGGCATTCCTGGAAACTAACAGAAGCACAACATCGTCATAAATATGTGAACCTTCCTGGCATATTTATAAATGAATTTTTCACTGGTTACTTTCTTGACTATGTCTAGGATCCATTATTTCAGTGATTGAATTTCATTATTAGCCTTGCTTTTCTCAATTACACACAGGAAACACAAGCAAGTAATGAGCTCATATGACCACAACAATAAAGCTTTCATATTCCCAAAGAGCACTGAGGTTGTGAAAGGGCTGAGGATCTGATAAACACTTCTCTCTTCTGTTAGGGATAGGGAATGCACTCTGGTGAACTGTAATGTCAAGAAGTCAAGTGAATGGACCCCATCAGGAGTAGGTATTGTGATAAGCTATTATCTGACTGGACACAGGGTCCCCAAGTAACAGCTAAACATGGAGATCGTCCACCATCATCTGAAGGAAGAAACTGATAGGGTTAATTCAGGCTAGTGACATGGAAGAGAAGATGAAGTCTGAATTTAAACTGTTTTACTTCACTGAAGCATGAATAAGTCAGGGAAAAGCAAGGACGATCTGGCATGAGTCCTACAAAAACCTGTGGGTTTTCATGACTATCACAGACTCTAGTGCTGCTTATGAGGATGCAAAGGGCTGGTCCTAAGAGTAGAGAAGAATAGGGGTGCCCAGTGACTCAGTCTGTTAAGTGTCTGGCTCTTGATTTTGGCTCAGGTCATGATATCAGCGTCATGGGATTGAGCCCTGAATTGGGCTCTGAGCTCAGTAAGGAGTCGGCTTGACATGCTCTCTCTCTCCATCTCCCTCTGCCCCTCCGCACACCCTCCCCCCAACCCCGCGTGCACGCTCTGTCTAAAATAAATAAATCTTAAAAAAAAAAAAAAGAGTAGAGAGGAATGTTAGGGACCTCAGAGAGGGTCCAGTAAAAAACCCTGCTGAGGGGCGCCCGGGGTTAAGCGTCTGCCTTCTGCTCAGGTCATGATCCCAGGGTCCTGGGATCGAGCCCCGCATCAGGCTCCCTGCTCCGCGGGAAGCCTGCTTCTCTTCCCTCTCTTGTCATGTCTCTGTCAAATAAATAAAATCTTAAAAAAAACCAACAACAACCCTGATAAATCAGGTTGAGGCTTGGTTTTGGTCTGGGTAGGATGGGTCTAGAGTTGTCCATTGTGTGATGTTTACCCCTCACGTGCAGCCTCCCTGCTTGGTTAGGTGGTTGCCCAGGTTGGAAAGATGTGTCTCATTGTAGTGACATCCACTAGCCAGCACTGTGCGCTCTCTCATCCTTCCGCTCTGTGCTCAACTCCATAGCAGCTGCTGGGCCTCGCTTGATCTCAGCCCCCATGTGTGCGGATCCCAGGACTCAGCCGGTGAACGAGGCCCCCGCTGCAGAGCTCTCTTCTCTCCAGATGCCAGCTATTTGGGTGCCACGCAAACTGATGTTTACCGCCGTGGCCGGTGTGGCTGCCAGGCTCTGCTTTGACACCTGTTCTCCACCCCGGGCCCCTGCGGTGCTTACTGCTGAGTCGGCTTCCCCTCAGGGGTCTTATCCTTGTGCAGCCTGAAGCCTGAAGCCTGAAGTCGTCACCCCCCGTCCTAGGACGGAGCCATGGTGTTGCTTCTGGGGGGAGGCTACTCCGTAATCCCCAGAAACAGAGTCAGCTGCTCTATTGTAAATATTGACTTTAGGAATTTAATTTCTTTAGCTGATATTTGCTGTCACGTAGGGTAGATGTCACTCACTCTTTTCTAACTTTTTGCTCTTTGCATGTCCCTCTTTGGGTCACGTGGGTCTGGAATCCACACACGTAAGAGGATAGGAAAATACTGTTGAAAAATTAATAATGTGGTGTACCTACTGATCAGGGGGATGGGACTAGATGTGTCACTGTAGCTAGAGATAGGGAAGCTTCTTGAAAATATTGGCCCCTTTATAAATCACCAATGGTGCTTCCTCCAGAGAAACCAATGCCATGAATGCTCCCCTTCGGAGGGACAGAATTGCAGAAAGGGGTTATTTTCGGGGAACCGAATAAACCTTTCTCCAGGGCATAGGATTCACTGATTTTCAGATAGGCTGTGGGACCAATCTGCATCACCTGAGGCTGGCCCCAGTGAGGGCCCTCTGGAAGTCACAGTCAGCATGCAGACCCCTATGTCGGTGAGGTCCAGAGCACCCCACCCCCGCCGCCCC